AGTTAGAGAGTCAAATATAGGCAGGGGCGGGCTGGGCCGGGGGGCAGGGAGGCAATTGCCACCCAGGCCACCCTAAGTAATTTTAAAACTGGCCGCGGTCCTAATGCTGCAGCCGCCTGAGCACTCTGTAAAGAGCTGTGCCTTCCCTTACCGTCCGCTGGTGTGGAATGGGTCGAGGATAGCGCTGCGTATTGACTGGCGTGCAATCTCCTGTCGTCCGCCTGTTACAGGAAACAGAAACTCTGCGCGGAACAGGAGTTTCTGTTTCCTATACCCAGCCGGATTGACAGGAAGTGCACACTGAGTGTGCATCTTCCTATCACTCCGGCCGGGCACCGCGGACCGGAGAGGAGCTTGGCCACGCTACAGGGAAGGGGAGGTGAGGGGGAGGGGGAGGCGAACAATGGGAGGTAAGAAGAAGGAGGGGCAAGTAAAGAAGGTAAGAAGAACAGGTGGTAAGAAGAACAGGTGGGTAAGAAGAACAAGGGGGGTAAGAACAAGGAGGGGGTAAAGGCCGAAGGGATAAGAAGAGGGATAAGAAGAAGGTGGGTAAGAAGAAGCGGGGAGTGCGCAGCGGGGAGTAAGAAGAAAACAAGGAGGGGTGGGGGAGAAGAAGGGGAGGCAGCCAGCGGGGTGCTAAAGAACAGGTGGGGAGTAAGAAGAACTGGGGGTAAGAAGAAGGGGAGTAAGAAGAACAAGGGGGTAAGAAGAACAAGGGGGGAGTAAGATGAAGGGAAGGGAGGAGGGGGGAGAGTAAGGAGGAGGAGAAGGAGATGAGAACTGGGGGACTGAGGAAGAACACAGGGAGGGTGGGTGGTGAGAACACAGGGGAGGAGGGGGGCTGCAAGGGGTGAGAGAAGGGGAGTGAGAAGAACACAAGGAGGAGGGGGGAGAGTAAGGGTGAGGAGAAGGGGAGATGAGGAGAAGGGGGGACTGAGAAGAACACAGGGAGGGTGGGTGGTGAGGAGAACACAGGGAGGAGAGGGGGTAAGAAGAACACAGGGAGGGGGGAGAGGAGAAGGGGATATGAGGAGAACACAGGTAGGGGGGAGGTGAGAAGAACACAGGGGGTTAGGAGAACACATGGAGGGGGGGAGTGAGAAGAACACAGGGAGGGTGGAGGGGAGATGGGGGAGAGAGCAAGGGTGAGGAGAAGGGGAGATGAGGAGAAGGGGGGACTGAGAAGAACACAGGGAGGGTGGGTGGTGAGGAGAACACAGGGAGGAGAGGGGGTAAGAAGAACACAGGGAGGGGGGAGAGGAGAAGGGGATATGAGGAGAACACAGGTAGGGGGGAGGTGAGAAGAACACAGGGGGTTAGGAGAACACATGGAGGGGGGGAGTGAGAAGAACACAGGGAGGGTGGAGGGGAGATGAGAAGAGCACAGGGAGGGTGGGTGAGTGTGTGAAGAGACCGCTAGGGGAGGGTGGGGGAGAGCTCTAAGGGACAGAACGGACAGCCCCAAAAGGGGCCCCAAAAATGGAGCTGCTTCCAATTTTTCCAGAACATTGAATTTTGTGACCACAGTTGCAAACAGCCTCCAGAGATCCTGTTCTACACCAGACCAGTGGAGCCAGACTGCAGCCCATCATCATCTTCATCTGGTTGTAAGTAGGCAATCTAGTATATTATTAGTGACACTAATCTATTATTTACCTCACATTAAAGGGACACTATAGTTCCCAGAACCACTTCAGCTTAATGAGGTGGTTCTGGTGTCTATAGCCGGTCCCTGCAGGCTTTTTAATGTAAACACACACTGTGTGCAGCGCTGACGTTAGTTTATATGGCAGATCATGTGGGTGGGGCATTGTGATGTCACATGGGGGGGGTGGAAAATTTTTCTTTTGCCTACGGCGGAAAGAATCCTTGCACCAGCTCGGATCCTGGGCAGGTATACCAGTCTACTGGTGACCCACAGGAGGGGACTGCACTGATTGCACTGCACTCTCCTCCTGCCAGACCCGTCTTTACCGCAGTGCAAGTGCCCTCTGCCTCTAATTTACAGTGGCTCACACTCACAGCAAGCAGTGCCTGGAGCCCTTTGCAGAGACGGGAACAAAGTGGTTCTGCGGCAGCTGACTGTCCTGCAAGCATTACATTAACCAGCTGTTCCCCAGGCAGCCACAGGTGCCTCTTTGCTGAGAGAGTGTAATTACTCTTCACTTCCTCCCAGCCTACAGAGCAGCGCATGGGAGAGAGAGAGGAGGAGGCATGATTTAATCTTACAACAAATCCACTAAGCAAATCTTTATAAATTTGGGGAGGATCAGCTCTGTTTCCACAGTTTATTGGTGTTTACTCTGATGTCTGTATTAATATTGGGGGATTTCTAAGTAGTAACGTCAGTGTGTGTCAGCAGGGCCAGCCGTTGGGGTGTGCACGCTGTGCGGTCACGCAGGGTGCCATGACAACAGAGGCGCCTGACGGCCAACACAGCTCACAAGTTGGGGACACCAGCATATTCAATTTAAACGATTCGCTGGTGGTCCACTGGTGCGCACCAGCAGTAGGTGCAGTCAGATCATATCCTCTCCCTCGTGGTTCTGGCGCTCAGTTAGTGAGCCAGAGCACAGGCTCAGAGATTCTCAGCCTGCGCTCTGACAACATTGAAAGTCAGAGCCGCGAAGGAGCGGGTATGGCAAAGAGCTACTGATTAGCATAACATCAATATCTGTTATAAAACCAGGAAAAGGTGGGCATGGATGGTGAACTGATTTGGTGGTGCAATGGGCCACTTGACTGGTTTTGCCCCCCAGGTCTAAGGCTGCCAGCGCTCCCCTGAATATAAGGCTTGCATTTCATTTTTTTCACATTGAAATTTGACAGTTTGGTAATGTTGCCTTTGAGACCGTATGGTAGCCCAGGAATGAGAATTACCCCTATGATTGCATTCCATTTGCAAAAAGTATTTGCAAAAAAAGACTGGACATACCCCACTTGCAATACCTTGGGTTGTGTACTTTTGCAAATGGTATGACATCATGGAGGTAATTCTCATTCCTGGGCTACCATACGGTCTCAAAGGCAACATTACCAATCTGGCAAATTTCAATGAAAAAAAGAAAAATGGAATGTGCTATATTTAACCCTGTAACTTTCCAAAACACCGTAAAAATTTACAGCTAAAATGTCAGGCAGAACTACATTTTTTTTTTAAATCTTAATATCTCACAGTTTGTTTTATTTTATTCATAATAAGTTATATTTCATATATGAATAGTTCATGAGAAATTAAAGCCCTGTTTCTACTGAACAAAATGATATATAATAATTGTGGGTGCACTTAATATGAAAGAGGTGAATTACGGTTGCACAGACATATAGTGCAAATTCCAGGTTTTGTTTACATTTTGTTCTGATCAGAAGGTATACTATTGACTCCATCCTGAAGGGGTTAAGGACTGAACCAAATGTACACGTGATCAAAATAAAATGTAAACAAAACCTGGAATTTGACTATATGTCCGTTCAACCGTAATTCACCTCTTTCATATTAAGTGCACTCACACTTATTATATATTATTTTATTCAGGGGAAACAGTGCTGTCATTTAACATTCATTTAGCTATGAAACATAATTTAAGATGAATAAACTATAAAAAAGTGAAAAAATAAGAAATGTTATTTTTTAGTTCTACGTGACATTTTAACTGTGAATGTCATAATACTGTTTGCTTTTACTGCAATAAAATACACATATTTGTATTCACCGATGTCTCACGTGTAAAACAGTACCCCCTATGTACAGGTTTTATGGTGTTTTGGGAAGTTACAGGGTCAAATATAGCATGTTACATTTTTCATTTTTTTCACCTTGAAATTTGACAGATTGGTTACGTTGCCATGGAGACCGTATGGTAGCCCAGGATAATACTGATTTAGCACTGCCATTTTTTAACTATACTATAATCTTGAAAAATACACCATTACAATGTTGCTGTATTGAACGGAGACATTTATATTAAAAAAGATTTTATTTAGACCTTTTTCAATTTATATGTGATTTAGCAGGAGCCCCTGTCAGAAATGTATTGCACACAAGTAAAAATGTGCATGCGTAAAAATACCAAACACAGACAAAGCGGCTATGCTTTAGTTAGCATTTGATTGCCATCAATACTGTTTATTCTACGTATTCAATAGTGAATGAGCTGTTAATAATTATCAACAAATGCATACACTTTACAAAGTATTTTTGCAGGATTCTCATTATGTTTATGCTCCATGGCTTCACCTTGACAACAAATAAAATGTAACAGAGGTTGATGTCTTATTTATTAAATATACATTTAAAACTGTCAGGAATAGAGATCTGTTAGTCTTATGCATACCATCTAAAGGCTAGATAGAAAGAAGCGGCAAAACCCAAGTATTGACTCTAAAGAACAAGTCAAAGAAGAGAAGAATAGAAAGCAGATTAAAAGAATGTCACGTCAGGGCAGAAAAGTGAGCAGGGGGCAGAAAAGTGAGCAGGGAGCAGAATATGGATAGAACTAATGATGTTGTAAAAGGAGGAAAGTTTTAACAAGAAGGATGGCTCAAATACATTGCTCTATTTTTCCAATTCACCATAGAAAATGCAGATTCTAAGGAATTTTAGATGAATATGTTGGCTTAAAAAGCTGATCAGTGCAAACATTCAGGAAACCCCAGAGAAAATTGTCTCATTGGCTAATATGATGTGTGAGGTGACAATGGGATATGTTACAGACAGGCCGTATATGTTTGTGGGTTGACTGTGAGTCCGACCTTGATATCTCAACTATTACAAGAATAACTGCCTTATTCAACAAAGGGATATTTTTTCAAATTCTTCCATTTTAGAATTCATTTTGCAAAACAGTACTCCAACTTCTAAAGCTGCAGGAAATTTCAGCTTTCATCAATGGGTTACTTTAAATGGTGATAAATAATCAATTATTATTACTAGTGATGTCCCGAACGGTTCGCCGTGGACTCATCATTGAGTAAACTTTGACCCTGTACCTCACAGTCAGCAGACACATTCCAGCCAATCAGCAGCAGACCCTCCCTCCCAGACCCTCCCACCTCCTGGACAGCTCACTAAGAATGCAGCTTCACAATGGATGCTGTCCAGGAGGTGGGAGGGTCTGGGAGGGAGGGTCTGGTGCTGATTGGCTGGAATGTGTCTGCTGACTGTGAGGTACAGGGTCAAAGTTTACTCAATGATGAGTCCGCGGCGAACCGTTCGGGAAATCACTAATTATTACTACATCAGAATGTATTTGAACTCTTGTACCCTCCCTCGTTTCATAATACATAGTTACATAGTTACATAGCTGAAAAGAGACTTGCATCCATCAAGTTCAGCCTTCCTCACATTTGTTTTTAGCTGTTGATCCAAAATACAATAATAGTAATACTGTTATTATTATTATTATTATTATTATAATATCAGGTCCAGATATATTTACATAGGAATGTTATATAGGAAGGTTATATGTTTGCCTTTAAAAGGCACTGTCACTTTCTGGGATTGTTGCATATTTTGCAGAGATTCCCAGTGGTTACTTTGCCACTTACAGTCCACTGGGTATGGGGAAAGGTGAGTTTTATTTACCTGACTGAACCTGTCCCTTGTGACCACCTCCAACTTCTTCTGCGGGATACTCTTCCACTCTTGGTGTTTCAACTGCCCTGGAGAAGGGTGGGAGGAGGGGTGACCAAACCACTTTAGAACAACACAGCAAGAACCAATACCACTACAGAATTAGTGAATGAATAGATGGAAAGAAAGTCACTAAATAAATATCTAATACATGGAGAGATATCCATTTAAAGAATATATGATACAGTGTATATATATATATATATATATATATATATATATATATATATATAAAACACAAGATCCAGCGCACTCACCTATCCACTAAACAGCAACTTCAATGTTGAAAGATTTTATTAGTTTTTTTAAAAACACCTAATCTAGGCAAAAATAATGGGGGTTTAGTTACATTATATGATCATGCATTGCATAAGCCTGCCACAACGTCAATGTACCCCATCTTTGGCAGGTCCTACACTAACAGCCTAATGTCTGCTCTTATGAGATTAACCTACTTGGGGAAAAAAATTCCATCTGGGGCTCTCTGCAGTACAAGGCTAAATAGGGCCCTGGGATGAGGCACCTGTGACAGGGAGGGGTGCAAAACCAAGGAGTTGGCTAGACTCCCAAATATATACAAAACAAGGTGGGGTTGGCTGCACTCACCTGAACATGCATAAATGGGGGTGCTGCTGGGGGCCAAGTAATACAATACACAAGATCCAGCACACTCATCTATCCACTAAACAGCAACTTCAATGTTGAAAGATTTTATTTGTTTTTTAAAAACACCTAATCTAGGCAAAAATAATGGGGGTTTAGTTACATTATATGATCATACATTGCATAAGCCTGCCACAACGTCAATGTACCCCATCTTTGGCAGGTCCTACACTAACAGCCTAATGTCTGCTCTTATGAGATTAACCTACTTGGGGAAAGAAATTCCATCTGGGCTCTCTGCAGTACAAGGCTAAATATGGCCCTGGGATGAGGCACCTGTGACAGGGAGGGGTGCAAAACCAAGGAGTTGGCTAGACTCCCAAATATATACATATGAAACAAGGGGGGGTTGGCTGCACTCACCTGAACATGCATAAATGGGGGTGCTGCTGGGGGCCAAATAATACAAAACATACATATATATTTGTGCTCAGGACAATAAAAGCCGTATGTGTATTCATACCTTATCATTACCAGTAGGGGTATATATAATTTGGTTGAGGTGTGCCGAAACCAACGTATTGGTAGACCTGTAAATAAAGTGGGCCCGCCAAGAAAGGTAATTAAGTGAAATAATAATTTAAAAAGTGGAGTGGTGGGAGGGACTCAGAACGAAACGATGCCTAGGAGGAGTTTAGTGCCGATGGTGAGTATTTATATCAGCACCAGCCCCTCCCACAACTCCAGGCTCCGCCTTTACATATATATATCTATTGCTTAATGTGGCGGAAACAACCTCGCCACTGTGCACTGGAGAAGCCTGATTGCTCACCTGCTCCCTTTAGACTATGGCCTGGCATTTAAAACCTTTTATTTTCCCTGCAGAAAGGCATATTCGTGCCGGGGTGTTCAGTAGATTCAATCTACCGAACTAAGTACCGAACGATCGACCACCTGGGAACCAGAGTGTGCCATCAATTGACCGCCCAGAAGCTGCGGTTAACCGCAGCTTAATTGACAAACGCTGGGTGGCCTTTGTTCGTTTGCCGAACATGTGGCAGCGGCCATTTTAACTCCCAAACTGCCAGCGGTGTTCAGCGCCCAAACTATGGAACTGGAAACGGACACTTATCTGGCGGAAGGGTATGCTTGAGGGTATGTGCCCACAAGCAAGATGGCTGCGGTGAGAGTGGAAGTGATGAAAGGAAGGTGAGGAAATTGACCTCACAATAAGCTAAATCCGGATTGGAGGATGCGATGGGAGGACTGCCCACTGGATTAAGAAACACGGCATATTTAAAAAGCAGCATGAAGACAATGAGGATACCGATTGAAAAAGCCCCCATAGTGTGGGTGAAATGCATCTCGGGACTGGAGCTAATTACTGGGACATTCTTTATCTTTATTTTATTTAGAAGCAACTGGACATTTTTATTTAATTCTATGTTTTTGTTTTTATATTTAAAGTTGCAATAAATATATGTATTTTAAACCAAGTCCCATCAGCTTCTAACTTCACCTTGCTGCTAAAGAAGGGCAGGTGCCCCCCTCTAGAGGTACCCAGGTCTATCATCCAGAGCCAGGTTCTCATTGGCTCAGGAAAAGGTGAGCACAACCATAACCACTGTGTTTTTTATTTTGGTTGAAACATAATACACTAGGAAGTCTCTCTTTCTCTCTCCTTTGAGGAAATCGATTCCAAGCAAAAGGGTGCAGTGTCTCCATACGACACCACTGTGCAAGTGATTTGAGCCTGTCCCTTTAAGGCTCTGACCAATTCCCATCAGCTTCTAACTTAATCTTGCTGCTAAAGAAGGGCAGGTGCCCCCCTCTAGAGGTACCCAGGTCTATCATCTAGAGCCAGGTTCTCATTGGCTCAGGAAAAGGTGAGCACAACCATAACCACTGTGTTTTTTTTATTTTTTGTTGAAACTTAATACACTAGGAAGTCTCCCTTTCTCTCTCCTTTGAGGAAATCCATTCCAGGCAAAAGCGTGCTGTGTCTCCATACGACACTACTGTGCAAGTGATTTGAGCCTGTCCCTTTGAGGCTCTGATCAATGTGAGTTTGACTACTTGAATTATACATGGATGCTGTCCAGGAGGTGGGAGGGTCTGGGAGGGAGGGTCTGCCGGAGATTGGCAGGGATGTGTCAGCTGACCGGAGTTCGCCGCGAACGGTTCGTGGCGAACTGTGGCGAACCGTTCGCGGCAAGTTTGCGTACGGTTCGCGACATCACTACTGGGGATATGTAGAATGTGTGTGTTTTATGTGATAAAGGGAACATATGTAATTTTATGTCTTTTTACTGAAAATGTGTGTAATGGAGTTTTGCCTCTGTCCTTGGAGATAATTGGATTACTTCCCAATTATCTCCAGGCCAGAGAGGAGGGATTGTGATGCATTGTGGGATTGTTGAAATGTGTAAGTCTGTGATTGGTCCTTTTACCCTTTGTGTCCCAGTCTTCCATCTGGTCTCCAAGGGGAGTGTCCACCAGGTGGGAGACCTGCATAAAAGCCGGGCAGCTAGCCCCAGAAAACCAGTTCTGCTTGACCCTCAAACGAAGTGTCGTTTCGTTCTTGGGGGGAATTGTATTGTATGCCGATTGCCAGAAATGTAAGATGATTGTGTGCTTTTCCTGTTCAGCTGTTTCCAATGTTCGTGTGTTTCCTGATCGGGAGTTGGAGGATTCTTGTAGTTTGCAGTTCGGGAGATTGGTGCTTACAGTAGCTGTCTGTGCATCTGAAAGGGGAATATCGCCTAAACGGTTTTTAACCTCTCGTGTGCAAAATGGTCCGTTACACTTAGCATGAATAATGATTTCAAAGCTATTGAAATCTAACTGTATGAACATTTATCATAAAGGGTTTTGTCAAACACAAAATTAAAAAAAATAGACATAAGTGATATCACTTGAATTTTCTACATGAGCTGATACTCTAATCTATTCTTTGAAATCAGCAATATTCTGTGATTGAGCAATAAAGCTGAGGATAAAAACATTATCAGGTGGATTACTTGAAAACATGTTGTTTCCTAAACATGGGTGCTCAGGTGGGATTTTGATATCCTTGCCTAATGCCCTATCAGTTTCAAGTTGGCTAGCTGAGCAAACTAACATTTCATATTCATTCCACAAGGGACTCTGTGCTTCGGTCAGTTTACAACTTAAAACCAGCCTTATTTAAATTAAAGTTCATCTAACTTAAGAATTCAGCCTGGGAAATAAAAGATTCACAATTTGTCTTAAATATCGTTATGGATCACAGCGTTTAAATTGTGTTAGAAAGCAAAATTGGTATAATTTAACTATGTCTGCCAATCCTATTAAAAGATGGGTTTGTACTATATTTTTAGAAGAAAGAATGGAATTCATTTTAGATATAAGAGGGTTATAGAGAGAACCAATGCACATTGTGTAGATAAGGCCTCTTGTTTGATTTATGGAACTTAAAGAAGCAATTTACTGTGCCCATAGTTCTTCCATTGTATTGTATTAAATTAAAGTTTGCCCTTGTATTTGGTTTCTGCGATTTAAAATATGTTAGGTCCAATAATTGATCCCATTCTCAGAGAATGTAAGCACTTAGACAGGCATTACTAAGATATGGCAGATGTTACTGTCTTTGTTCAAAAATGTAACAACAGAAATATCACGTCTTTCAAATTACAATTATCATTGACGAGACATTTTTTTTTTTCAAGCAAACCTTATCTAGGACAATTATATGTTGAAGCCTTTTTCTAGTCAACAGTATTTTGTACCATAATACATCATTATAGTTATAGTGCATAGGTTAAGAATTAATGTACATATCCATTAATTCTTTCAATACCGAGTTATATTAAAATTTGTCATAAAATGTACTGAAGCAATTGCTGCACAAATTGCCATTTAAGGACATGTGATATAAAAGTAA